GGGCGGGGCGGGGAGCACCGCGGGGCCAGTGGCCAGGACCTCGGGGGTGGCAGTGACGCTAGAGGAAAGGGGGTCCACGTCTGCCGCGGCAGGACTGAGGGCTTCGCTGTCGGGGTCGAGGACCAGGGGTACAGGGCCAATGACATCTGGATCGAGATCAAAACTTGAAGACATGGGGTCCAGATCTTGGGGGTCCGAGTCTCGGTTCCCCAAGATGGAGCCCGGCGCTTCGACGTCGGGGTCCAGCTCCTCAGAGATGGGGTCCAGATCTTCATAGCTGGGGTCCACATCTTCAGAGACAGTGTTGAGGTCTTCTGGATCCGGCTCTGGGTCTTCAGGAACTGGGTCCAGATCTTCATGTCTGGGGTCCAGGTCTTCGGGATCTGAGTCGATTTCTTCATAGGCGGGCCTCACGCCCTTGTGGCCTGGGTTCCTGACCAGGACAGAGCGCCTCATCCCGGGTGTGGAAATGCTGGTAGTTTCTGTGACAGGATCTGCAGGGTGAGGACAGAGGCTCAGTGGTGGCACCTTTGGGCATAGAGAGTCTCCTTTGGAGGCTGGGTAGGGACTGGCTCTTTCCCTTATCTTTCACCACAGGAGACCTCTTTCCCTCTCCCCCCGCCCCAGCCCCAGCCAGGAAGTGAAATCAGGGGACCCTCCCTTCTTGGCCAGGTCAGCCCTGAACCTGGCTGGAAGTCATGGGACCCCAAAGAACAGGTCTTCAGTGCCCAGCTCCATGGCTCTTCCCCTCTGTCGGTCCTGGGCTCCTATGCAGGGCAGCCTGGGTCTATGGAAGAGAGACCTCGGTTCCCTTGTGGGAAAGAGGGTCCCCCCGCAGAGCACAGGGCCTGAATTCCCACTGCAGAGTGGGGGTGGCGGCTTTGAGGGTTCACGGTGGTGATGGAGACCTCTTGCTGGCTTCCTACTGAGGTGTTGGCCCGAACTCTTTAACCTCTGCCTGGGGGAGAGGACGGGAGACCCTGGCTTTCCTCCTGCGAGAAGCTAAGGTACTGCTACCCTCCTGGACAGAAGATCCAGAATGCCTGTTCTCTAAGCTCCACTGTAGGTGAGGACCCCTCCCGTCGGGAACAGGGAGGCAGAGATTCCCCGGGCCCTCTTGGGTTCTTGGGGGGAACCTGAAGGGGAGATCCCTGAGCCCCTGGCTGGGGTGTGGGGACTTCTTTGAAAAACTGCTCTGACCGGAGCTGTGCTGCCTCAGGCTGGGGTGGATGGGGTACAAGGAGATCTGGTCCCCTCCTGGGGGCAGGGGAGCTACCTGTTGGGCAGATGCTGAGGTGGGATGGGGGTTAGGGAGAGCTCTGGCTGTCCTTTTGGGGGGTCACACTGGGCCTCAAGCTCACAGCCGGAAGTGGTAAACACTAGGGAAGGGCTGGGCTCTTGGATGGCCCCCTAGACCCAGCCCACAGCTGGAGGGCCTGGGAGGATACTGGGGTCTCCTCCTGGGTGTGTGGGGGCAGGAGGATCCTGAGGTTACCCCAGAGCCCGCAGCACCCTCCTTTCCCATTTCGAAGCTAGAAGGAGGGAGAAGACATCACTGGGACCCTTCCCGAGCTCCTGAGGGGGAGGGTCCCAGACGCTAGGACTCCAGACTTTCGAGGGAAGGAACAATGGCTGAGGCCTTTCCTAGTGTCCTGGGGGATCAGGAGACCCCCTGACTTCCCATCTCGAGGAGAGGGCCTCCCTCCCAAGCCCCCAGACCCCAAGCCGGAGGTAGGAAGAACAATACCCAGGGGCCCTCTTGATTTCCAGGAGGGGATGGGAGCTGGGGAGGGGGCGTCCCGGGCTCAAGATCTCAGGGCCGACGGAGCCCCAGCCCCTCCCGATCCCAGACGCGCAGCTCCAGGCCCCCCGGCCGCGGAGGCAG